AGCGGAAGCGAGTACGAAAGGTAGGAACGCGAATTTAGTTCGTGAAGCCGAATAGGAATAGCCTACAGTTAAATCTCCGGTATAGCCGCGAGTAAGTAAAAGTAGTTATTTTCTGTGCGTAAGCGAAAGCGAGTACGGAAGGAAAAATTGCGAAACGCGAAATAACAAAGTTTAAAAGGGTAAATTCCCGTGCGTGAGCGGAAGCGAGTACGGATGATAAAATCGCGATACGCGAAGTAAACACAATTAAGTTTGAAAAAGTAAATTCCCGTGCGCGAGCGGAAGCGAGTACGGAAGATAATATCGCGAAATGCGAAGCAAATAGAAGTAAGTTAAAGGAGGTAAATTCCCGTGCGTGAGCGGAAGCGAGTACGGATGATAGTATCGCGAAACGCAAAGTAAAAGACAAAATGTCTGTAAAAGTAAATATCCGTGCGCGAGCGGAAGCCAGTACGGAAGAAAAGTACGCAAATAGCGTCGAGTTCAAAAAATTACCGGCTAGGACCCGTGAGAACTTAAATACGTGTTCGTTTATTAGTTCGAACGCAAACAAAGTAGCAAATATAGTTCGTGAATCCGAACAGGCAGTGCCTAATAGTAAAAAATCTCCGGTTAATCCGCGAGAACTAAATAATATCCGTGCGCGAGCGAAAGCAAGTACGAAGTTAAGCCTAGCAAAACAGGTTTTGATAAAGGTACAGCTTAAAAGGCAGAACGTGGAACTGCGTAGATACATCGAAAGAATTAGAAATAGAGAAATCGCAGGGAATTGCGAGCAGGAGAAATAAACGTCTCGGGAGAATATACGAAGAAACCATTCAAAATGTAGCGCAAGATTTGTACAAACCCGGAAATTTAGAAATAGATTCCGTACAAACAGACGTGAAATCGAGTAATATTAAAGAGTTGTTGTATGAACGGGAGAGCGAAATAATAAATCCTGTAAAAGGAAACGCGGAAATAGATAATTCCGCAAATCAGCAGGCAATAGCGTGCGAATTATATTTTAGAGGAGTCGTAAAAAATGATTTCGAGCAACCGTGCATGCTAAAGAAAAAAAATTTAGTTTTCTGCATGTTATATAACTGTTATAAATGTAAAAACGATATTCCGGGCTACGTAGATTTATTCGTTGACAAAATAAATGCGACGAAAGTAACCGTCGTCGTAGAAAACACGCAATCGAGCGATACGACGCCTGACAAAGGGATATCATGTGTCACAAGGGACACCGTTAGTGCGCAAGAGGCTCAGGAGATAACGGCGGGCGACGTAGCAGCTGAGCAAGACAGCGCGAGAGAGCGAGCGAGACGGACAATGGCGGCGAGCGCGAGTGGCGCGTCGACATCGTATGACGCAACGCGATCAGATTAACGCAGCGGCGAGCGCGAGCGTCGTACACAATGAAGATGGATCGGATTACAAATGCGACACTGCCAGTCCGAATAAATACGCATCGCATATATTTAATCGTAATATCGGTAAATTTAAAGAAACTAATACACCGATTAAATACGAACTACCGAATAATAATTATAACGAGATTATAACAAAGGAAATAATACAACGTTTATAAAACTACGGTCGTAGATTTCTTGTCTCGAGAACAGGTAGCGGAAATCGGAAGTAGGGATAAACCGGAAACACTAATAGACGGTTTAAAGAGTTCGCATACGCAATTAAAAGCGTCAGACGACGCTATAGAAAATTCAGAAATCGCGTTAATTCGTACAACGGGAATTAACCGCGATATTAACAAGGTGTCGGGCGAACACAAAAACATGTTGAGTTTTCACTCAACACCGTATGTGTCTGTCACGTTTGGGAATTTGAAAATAAAAACCCTGATAGATACGGGCTCTCAAATCTCAGTAATAACGGAAGACATGCGACAGGCTGATGAGCGGGGGGCGGAGGGGCTTATGCGTGTGGAACCGATTAAACAATTTCTATTGATGGAAGCGTTCTCAGATCGCGGCCAAATTGTCGCGAACATATTACAATTAAGCTTTTCCATATACAGGACCGTTTACACGCATGATTTTCTCCTTGTTCAAAAAAGTCTGTTACACGGACTCATACTAGGTATAGATTTTCTTGCCAAATATGAAGCTAAAATAAAATGCGGAAGGAATTTTAGGATTAAATTCCCCGAAGCTTTTCCGAAAGCAGGAACAATAACTAACGCCGATATAAAGCGTCTAAACTATAAAACTAACGCCGATATAAAGCGTCAAAACTATAAAACACACACCGATAAAGGGTGTCTAAACCTTAAATCAAACGCAATAATAAAGTGCGTAAGAAAATTCTTCTCGAGAAAAAAGCAACCGAGAACCTTTTGCAAATCCGATAGATTGAAAAAATTACCATCGGATATTAAAAATAAATTCGTTAACCGGGATGGAGAAATTTTGCAACGAGCGCAGGTTTTCTCTATCAGGAAGCCACTGTCGATACAAACGCAGTCTGACGGGAACGAGGAGGAGAATCTCGATAAGACGCTGAAACTTTATACAGCGCGAGACACTGCCGACGGCAAATGCAGCGGTCATCCGACGGCTAGCAACAGCAAATGCAGCGGTCATTCGACGGCTAGCGACAGCAAATGCAGCGGTCATCCGACGGCTGGCGATGACCAATGTAGCGGTCATCCGACGTCAAGTGACAGCAGACGCTACAGTCATCCGAGGACAGCGAATGCAACGGACATCCGACGGCGAGTGACAGCAAGACGATACAACGAAAACCTTCAATCAGTGAGAAGGGCATGCGTCATGTTACAAGACTAACCAATCTGGTGACTGGAAAAACCAGCGTGCCATATTTTCCTGGACTCGCAGAAGGCACAATAATAAAAATTCCTTTTGACAAGAGAGGCGAATTTAACGTCATCACCACAGCGGCGGTGAAGCAAATTGAATCGAGCAAGGAATCGAACGAGTAGTAGACTCGAAATCCATCCCAGCATACCTGAAAAGAAAGAAAAAAATAAGATTCAAAGCTGTCAAAATAAGGGTGGAGATCTTCAAGAATATTGTCGATATCGAGGCGATGATTCTGGATGCTGAGGAACCAGGCATCCTTCTAGGACGACTGGCATGCCGAGAAATGGGCGGCAAGCTGAAAGAAGAAGAAAACTTTTTTCCACTGTCGAGATGGAACAAACACCTGTCTCTCCATACCGTAGGAAAACAAGAAGAGGAAACCAGTTCCGCACAACTCACAACCGAGAGGGAAGAGCAGCAAAGTGCCCACAGTGCGCGTGAAAGAACGTTAAAACCCGAAATTATTGTTATCGGGAAAAGTGCGATAGAAACTAGTGAGCGGAAAATCGTAAAAAACGCGGTGAAAGCCAAATGCGAGAATTGGCTATCGGGTTGTGAAAAACCGAAAGGTGCTGTGCCAAAAAGACACCAAAGTAAAATCGCTAGCGAATAGCGAGCGAAAGGACGCAAACGCGTAAAAGCGTCCGAAAGTGCGATAGAAATAAGAACATTATAGAAACTCAAAGTAGGGACACTAAGCAAGTGATAGATATAAGTAGCGATGAATCGCAAGTGTCTACTTGTGCGCGAGTGAACGCGGGAGCGCGTGGATCGCGTAAAAAGGACACGAAAACGGTTTTGTAAAAAGCAGTCAATTTATTTTTAGCAATAAATAATTCACAAGATTCGGTTCGATAAGATTTAAGCTAATCTTAACCATGTCTGGCTCCGGCGAGCGACCGGGAGCGCAACGATAATTCTCCACGAGCGACGGATCGATCTCGGCGCAAATATTCGCAAGCGAAGAATATTTCGCGACGGAGAGGCCACGAAGTTGATATTCACGAGCGATGAATATCCTCGAAAACTAGCGTATTCGCGTACCACGAGCGATGGTCTAAAGACAAAGCGAGCTACTTTAACTTTTGCGAACGTTTTCGAAACGGAGAAAATCACACACTGTCACGTCAAAGATATCAGATCGAGTGCGCCCGGCGGTTCCCCGAGAGAGCTTTTATACAACCGTTCTTTTTGTGTTCTAGAATTTTCTACATGTTTGTCTCAAAAGATCGCGCCGGTTGTTGTTTGCGATGATTAGTTTAAATTGAATGTTGTTATTGCAATTTGATTGTCGTTTCAGGCTCTCCCGGGTGACTGCTGCGTGGCCCGCATCGATAGGCAAGAGCGATGCCGCGAGCCGGGCGCGATTCGCGTAGCGCCGCTGTTGGAGCGCGCTCCTATTTGTCGCGCGCCGCGCGACGCGTGACATGGCTGCTAGAGCGCCATTTTTCGAGCGCGCTTAGTCGCCCTTCGTTATAGCTCTCATTATCTTATAATAATTACTCTCTTATTATTTCTGTTCGTTCGGTTTCGAACATTCCGCCCGCCTCGTATTGTGGAACATACGACAATTATCCGCCTTTTAGCGCTTGCTGGCTATACGCCGCTATCGTCGACGCTTGATCACGTGGCGCGAGCGCGGCGCTGAGTTGGGCGAGCGGCCGGCGGGGTGCGGTAGGGCGCTAAGGAATGCGCGTTTCATTCACGGCTTCGATCGTGAATTGCAGTAACAACGCGTGCTTAATGACGTTATGGAGAACGTTTCGCGATTATTAATTGTGCGATGTCCGGTGTGCCTTTTAGTTTATGAGTGTGGAGTGGAGTGTGTGTGGCGTGTAGGCGTATTGTGAGGTGAAGTGTGCAGTGTAAAGTGTAAGTGTGGGCCTCGCGTAACTCGCATTTATTTCTACGGATAATACAAGAGAAACAGAATTTAATTTTTTCTTGTTACGCGTCGTCCGCCGGTGCCGTGCTGACCGGGAGGAGAATAATCTTCGACAGTAGTCGCTTAAAACTAGAGGAGGCGGTGCGCACGACGACGACCCGGACGACCCCGTCCTCCCCGGGGTGCACGCGGTCGACCCTGGCGAGGGGCCACTTATTTGGCGGCGTCGTTTCGCTGCTTAGGAGGCACAGCCGGCCTTCTCGGACTTCCTCGTCGGCGTGGCACCATTACGGCCGGTGCGTCAGCGAATGGAGGTACTCCCGGGACCACCGGCTCCAGAAATGGTCCCGCAGCTGTTGCAAATGCTGCCACCGGGATAGTCTCGTCGTAGTTTCCAACGCGAGGAATGGTTCCGGGACGGCGTTGAGTGCTGTGCCGACGAGGAAGTGGCCGGGGGTAAGGGCCTCCAGGTCCTCCGGGTCGTCGGACAAGGCCTGTAACGGATGCGAGTTTAGGCACGATTCGATTTGGGCTAACAGGGTGGCCATCTCCTCGTATGTTAGTTTCGCGTCGCCGATGACGCGCGGGAGGTGGTGCTTCGCCGCTTTGACAGCCGCCTTCCAGAGTCCACCGAAATTGGGGGCCGCCGGAGGATTGAAGTGCCATTCAATCCTCTCGGCGGCGAGACCTTTCGCGATGCGCTGGCCTTTCTGGCTGCTGGCTGCGAAGAGCGCTCGCAGTTGGGCGTCGGCACCCACGAAGTTTGTGCCGCAATCGCTATAGAGGGCTCGACATAGCCCTCGGCGCGCGATGAGCCGACGCAGCGCGGCCAGGAAGGCGTCAGCGGAGTAGACGGACGCTACGTCGAGATGGACGGCGCGGGTGCTGAGGCAGACGAAGACCACCTAAAAGGCCTTCGTAGCGCGCTGCCCTCGTCCCCCGGAGGTTCGTAGCCACATTGATCCCGCGTAGTCTACCCCTGTGTGGAGGAACGGCCGAGCCGGTGTCACTCGAGGCCGCGGCAGGTCCCCCATGAGTGGTTGCGGAGTCGCCGCCCGCCATCGCAAGCACGTTAAGCAGCGGTGGATGCTGCTTTTGACGAGCGTCCGCCCGCGGGGGATCCAGTACTCCTGGCGGATGGAGGACAGTGTCAGCTGCATGCCCCCGTGCAGGGTCCGGCGATGATACGCCTCGATGATGAGGCGAGTAATGTTTGATTCTCCAGGTAAGATGATCGGGTGCCGGGCATTATAGGAGAGGAGAGCGCGCTTGATCCGACCGCCGACTCTGAGGATTCCCTGGGGGTCTCTGAAAGGAGTTAACCGGGTAAGTTGACTTCGTGTGGGCAGAGATTTGCCCTTTTCAATAGCCGCTAACTCCTTCTTGAAGTTTTCAGCTTGGATGACTCGGATCCAACTCAGGCGCGCCTCCTCGACTTCAGATGCCCTAAGGACGCGCTGGACGACAGGATTGGCTCGTACTTCGGGCGCCAACCTCTCCAAGGGTCGGCGTAACCAGCGACAACACCAGGCAGTGACCAGTAGTAGCCGATGCAGGGCCGAGTACAGTTTCAGCATCTCGGGCTCCTGGCTTTCCTCCTTGACTTACGTGGTCGCGTGGCTCGAGGCGCGCTGCTCGGGAAGCTCGCTCTCGCCGTCACCGTCCCCAGTGGTCGTCCAGCCTCCTGTCTCCGTGCTCAGCCACGACGGACCTTGCCACCAGAGGGGGTGGTTTACCAACTCCTTCGGTGACAGCCCTCGCGAAGCGCAGTCGGTTGGGTTGTCTCGTCCGGGAAGGTGGTGCCACACGGCATTAGGCATGGACGTTTGGATCTCCGAGACACGGTTGGCCACATACGTCTTCCAGCCGGCCGGGTGGTCGCGGATCCATCCAAGGGCTACTGTTGAGTCCGTCCAAAGATGCATAGGGATGTCCGAGGCATCCAAGACGCGGCCGATGTGGCCGACAAGCCGAGAGAGCAGCGTAGCCGCACAAAGCTCCAGGCGTGGTAATGTCACCTGCTTTAACGGAGCGACCTTCGTTTTTGCGCTCAGTAAGGTGACTTTGATCTTCCCGTCCAAGGTTTCGGTTCGCAGGTACGTGATGGCCGCATAGGTCTTTTCGGAGGCGTCGGCGAAGCCATGGATTTCACGTCGGTAAGCCGTTCTGCCCGTGAGCCCACGGTGAACGCGGATGTGCTCCAGGAAGGGGAGTTCGATCTGGAACTCCTGCCACCTCTGCACATCGCCTTCAGGCAGTGTGGTGTCCCAGTCGACCCCTAGCAACCAAGTCGCCTGTATCATAATCTTGGCTCGCACTGTGGTGGGGGCGAGCCATACCATCGGGTCAAACAGTCGCGCTGTTAATTAATGGACTGTTCTTTTTGTTACAGTTGAGAGCTGGAGCGGTGGCGTTGAGAACGCAAACGAGTCCTCGTGAGGATGCCACCGGAGGCCCAAAGTCGAGTGGCTCTCCCCGGGCTGCCATCATCGAGGGTCTCGTTGTAAGAGGTCTTCCGCTGGCAGGGCCGCGAGCAGCTCGGCAGAGTTCGCCGACCATTTCTTGAGGGGGAATCCGCCCGCCCTGCAAATCAAGTGAGCTGCTGCTGCATCTCCTTGGCCTCAGCAATGGTTGGTGCTCCGGTCAGGACGTCATCCATGTAAACGTCTCGGCAAATGGTAGCAGATTTGGTTCGATTTTCAGATGCCGATTGAGTGTCTCGCCTGTCGGCAGTTTGGTCGAGCCGTTGAACATGACTCGCAATTTGGTCGTGGTGCTCGCTTCCCGCATCGCCCCGTGATGAGGGAGGTAGCATCGTGGCTCCGGAACGACGTCCGAGCCCGGGGAGACCGGCGTCATGTGCCGCAAGCTCGCGTACTGACTCATGAATTCCGTGTATAGTTCCCGGAACGAAGCCTCTCGTCCGAACCTAACCTCCATCTGCTTTAGCAACCGCAGAGCCGAGCGACGTGTGCCGGTGAGGTCCGGTAGAGGCTCGATCACCGGGAGGCGCACCGTGTAGCGCCCGTCAGGCCCTCGTGAATGCGTGCGCACAAAGTGCTCGCACTCCTGCTCGTCCTTGGAGATGGCGATGGCGGTCATCGGCATGTCCTCCTGTTCCCAAAAGCGACGCACCACGCTTGCGAGGTCGTCCTCCAGCCGGCACTGATGCGTATGCGCCGGTAGGGAGGAGGTGGTTCCGCCGATCGCTCCCGACAGAATCCATCCTAGAGTCGTGTTCTGCGCCAGCGGTTCGCGGCGCTCTTCTCTTCGTAGACCTTTGCGGAGGATGGCGGCGTGGACGTCGGCTCCGAGGAGAATGTCGACTTGGTCAGCGGCGCTGTATACGGGGTCGGCCAGTTTCAGGCCCTCCACATGTGGCCAGGTCCTCGTTCCGGAGTGCAGCCCGCCGGCGTAGACGGTGAGCCGCGGAAGTACGAGAGCGCTGACGGACATCGCCGCTCCTCCGAGTTGCGGTGACAGCGAAAGCGAGACGCGGCCCTTGGCTGTACCAGACTTCTGCCCCCCCCCCCCCCCCCCCCTGACTCCGAGCCATGGTCGATGAGCGCGAGCGCCGGGTGTAAGATGCCGTGACGGTCGGCTACTCGAACGCAAGCGGTCGCGAGAAGCACGGTGGCAAGCCGGTCGAAAGGCCCCTGCGCGACGTGTGACGATTTCGCGACGGCGTCATCGCGATATGCCTCGTGCAACGAAGAGTGGTGACGAGCTTCACACACCGAACACGCCCTTTTGGAGGTGCACTCGCCTACCTGATGCCTGCCGAGACAATTAAGGCACAACTTTCTCTGCTCGACTATCTGCTTCCTTTCCTGGGCCGTCTTCTTCTTCTACTCCTCGCAGAGCATTAGGAAGTGGTCTTGCTGGCACAACGCACAGCGGCCTCGCTTCACTTCAGGTTTGCTCTCTTGTTTTTGAGCGAGGTGGCTGCGCGTGTAATTTAGTGGGCTGGACCCTGACTTGCTCGCGGAGCCATCGGCTTTGATCGGCTGCATCGCTTCTAAGGTGTGGAGACGTCTATCAAGAAACAGCTCGAGAGTATCGAACGATGGCGGTTCCTTCGTGTCGCCAATCGAGGTTTCCCATTCGCGACGAGAGCGCGGGTCGAGGAGGTCGACGGCTAAATAGACAAACAAATCTTAACTGCAATCGATCGGTCGGCCAATGTTTTCCAACGAGCTAACTGTGGTCTTCAAGCAATGGAAGATTTTGCGGAAATCGGCCGGAGATTCACTCTTCATCTTCTGGAGCGAGATGAAGTTCGCGAGATAGGCGCGAACCAACAAGCGTTTTTTTTCATAATAGTCGCTTAACATTTTCCACGCGCTTTCGTAATTATCACCCGTAGTAGTGATTTTGCGTATCAATAACTCCGCCTCACCCTTTAAACAAGTCTTCAGGTAGTGGAGCTTCTCAACCTGAGCTATTGACGCATCCCGTCCGATTATCGACAGGAACAAGTCGCGGAACGCCGGCCGCTCTTCGTATTTCCCTGAGAACTGAGGAAGCTGGATCCGTGGCAGTGTCGTGCGTGATGCTGGTCGTGATTCGTCCCCGGCGCGTCCCGTTCCAGGCGTCCGTCTGAGGCGTTAGCCTAGTGAGCGCCTCCTCAAGCTCAAGGACCGCCGCGCGTTGGTCTACGTAGACTTCCTCCGCCTTAGCCAGGAAGTCCTGCGTCACGTATTCGTGCTTCCTAAGTTCCGCTTCATAAACGGCACGAAGTGCTTTGTGCTGCTCCTCGAATTTAGCCCATTTGGCGTCCAGCATCTTTAGCGTGGTCGCTACAAGCCCCTTATTAATTTTCGCTTGCCCTGCCTTCTTCAAATTGTCGTACGTGCGCGCGATACGTCTGAAAAGCTCGTGCTGAGCTAAGATTAATTCTTCCATTTCCATTTCAGATCACTACAGCGAGGGATCTCTTCTAAGCTCGCCTTTTCTCTGGAAAGCACAGGAGAGGATCATCAAGTGGTTCACCACACACGACGCGGATGCCGGTTGCGAGGAATCCGGCTCGACGTACCAGAAAATGTGCGCGAGTGAACGCGGGAGCGCGAGGATCGCGTGAAATGGACACGAAAGCGGTTTTGTAAAAAGCAGTCAATTTATTTTTAGCAATAAATAATTCACAAGATTCGGTTCGATAAGATTTAAGCTAATCTTAACCGTGTATGGCTCCGGCGAGCTACCGGGAGCGCAACAATAATTCTCCACGAGCGACGGATCGATCTCGACGCAAATATTCGCAAGCGACGAATATTTCGCAACGGAGAGGCCGCGAGGTTGATATTTACGAGCGACGAATATCCTCGAAAACTAGCGTATTCGCGTACCACGAGCGATGGTCTAAAGACAAAGCGAGCTACTTTAACTTTTGCGAACGTTTTCGAAACGGAGAAAATCACACACTGTCACGTCAAAGATATCAGATCAAGTGCGCCCGGCGGTTCCCCGAGAGAGCTTTTATACAACCGTTCTTTTTGTGTTCTAGAATTTTCTACATGTTTGTCTCAAAAGATCGCGCCGGTTCTTGTTCGCGATGATTAGTTTAAATTGAACGTTGTTATTGCAATTTGTTTGTCGTTTCAGGCTCTCCCGGGTGACCGCTGCGTGGCCCGCATCGATAGGCACGAACGATGCCGCGGGCCGGGCGCGATTCGCGTAGCGCCGCTGTTGGAGCGCGCTCCTATTTGTCGCGCGCCGCGTGACATGGCTGCGAGAGCGCCAATTTTTGAGCGCGCTTAGCCGCCCTTCGTTATAGCTCTCATTATCTTATAATAATTACTCTCTTATTATTTCTGTTTGTTCGGTTTCGAACACTAATAAAAGCGCGGAAGGACGAAACCGCGAAAATAATGATAAATTGAGCGTTATTACGCACAGTAGTAAAACTTCGTCGAACACACGCGACAAAGTAATAGACTTATGAAACGCGGAAAAAATCCGCGTATGAATCTGCGTACGGAAAAAAATCTAAAGCAAGTAAGAATCAGATGGAAACTATTCTAAAATCAGTTGAAGGAACTAATAATAGTAAAACAATCTTTCAAAAAAATCTAGAACCAAATGACATTGCCGAAAAGGACGTAGATTCATCCGCCAATACGCTAATATTAAGCAATAGCGAAACCGTATTAGAAAGCAGCGAAGCACATTTACTGAGCGATAATGTAAGTCTTGGTAAGGAACACAAATGTACTAATAAACAGACTCTGGAAAATTAGTACTAAGCAAGTCATAGGGGATGAACTATGTAAAAAAGCGATAGAAAGTAAGGATAATCTAGATTTTAAGGAAAATTCTGTAAAATCTATAGATTTAGATAAACAAGGAACTTGTCAAAAACAGAACGCAAATGGATGCGTTTATATGAAGTTCGGCCCATTAACCACATCCCAAGAAAGCAATAACGAACAGTCAGCAAAGATGACATCGTGTTATGGATCAACACCTGTCACACCTAAGAAGGAAGAAAAGGCTGAAACAAATACAAGCAGACGTCAACTTTTCAGAAATATTGAGAGGCCTGCAACAGCAGAAAGAAAAAAAACCACTAACACTGCGCAAGCTATATTCATGGCATTACAAGCAGACAAAGTTGAACAGACATGGTTCAACAAAACAATATTACGAGATGAAAGAAGAAGTTCAGCGGTCCAGGTAACTACGATGGTAATCATTAAACCCATCGGACAACGAGACGGTCTCGTAAAACCCATCAATATCAACGTGTTGATGGACAGCAACAAAATTGTCCAGAACATCGACTTTGTCGAAAGAAAAGATATCATCGTGCCAAAGAATATCACGAAGAAAACTGGAAACCCAGCATACACGGCAAGACATTGAAGGAACTTCGCCGATCTCGTAAATCTCGGCGAAGCTCCTTGGAGGGAGTAATGAAGCCGGGGACTAAATCGTGGAAGCCGGGAAACCCAGGAATCCGGGAATCTCCAGGAGGACGAGAAAGCGTAAGGAGGCCGGAAAACACCGGAAAAAGACAGTGTGAAAACGTAGGCCACACAAAGGCAAGACACGACATTGTGAATTGCCAAAAAAACTGTTAATATTAACAAGCCCGAATATTGCGTTAACCATGCGGCGAAAACGCATGAGTACAATATACCAAATATATAGGCTAAAACTATTATACTGGCTAATCGCGCATACGTTAGAAACCATACACACTACGTACTCTTTAATTCATTTGCATAAGATTTTAAACGCGATTCATAAGCGAAACATAAAGAATAGGCTTAGTTAAATATAAATATGTAATTAGTCATTAAGTTGAACGTGCGAGTGCGATATTTTATTGTTTTTTAAAGTGCAAATGATGCGTAGACGTTATACGAGGTTTTATAGCGCGGAACGTTATGATATTACTTATTTATAAAATGCGTGATAAGTTTTATTAAATTTGTGATATCAGAGTACAAAAGTGTAGCACCCGAAGTGCTACACTCAAGGTGCAAATTATTTGCACTCTTTAGCACATAGTATAGCGAAAATTGTATATATCTTGTTTTTAGACACCTTGTACATATTTAGAGTATAGATTTTAAGGAAAAAGCGATCCGAGCGAATTTTAAGTAGCTACACCCGTTGTGCAGCACTTAGTATAGGTGCATGCACTATAGCATAACATGCGTGCGCGCCCGGGAGGCGTGTTCAAGAAGAGAGGGGATCCCGAAAGCGGGAGAACCCGAAGAGTAGGGAAGGGTATAAGAGCGAGCGCAGAGCTGCTCTCGAGGCCTTTTCCCCGGAAAACCAAGCGTGCGATAAAATACGCGACTCGGATATTTTGAAAAGGAAATAGTCGCGATATTAACAGTCTCGAAATATTAGAGATACGCGACGGTGACAAAAGGCAAGGCCTTTTTACCCGGATATTAAGCGTGCAATAAAAAACCTCTTACGGGTATTTCATAGAACAAAGTCGCGACAAAAAATCTCGTGCGTGGAAGAGACTCGCGATAGAAATTATAATAAAGGCAGTTTTATTATATTTAAAATTAAAGACTGAAGCGCGATTATATCTCCGAGTTGTAGAGAGCCGCGAAAAAACTTCTGTGAACAGAGAGAAACATTATTTATATTTATATTCACATATTTAAATATATTTTATACTTTTATATATTAAAAGTAAAGTGAAAGTAATTTACTTACCTCGAATCTGTGAAAAATCCTTCCTGTGTCCACTCGTCGAACCAGAGAGATCCAAAGGGTAGTCCAGCAGTCCTTGGACATTGATCCGGCGAATCCAGCGGCGACCTGAAACAAAGAAGAAGAAAGGGATTAGGAAAAATTCCCAAGCAGCCAAGCAGTTAAGCAGTGATGTTAATAACAGCGCAATCCAGACGCTGAGCATTCTTCCGACGGCAGACCAGACGAGGCGTCGTTTGAGGGCATTCCTTGTTCGTTGGCGGTTAAACAAACTG